TCATTAAGATTAATTCTAAAGAGAACAGGTCTCTTATTTAGTGGTACGAACGAAGATAGTCCATATGTGACAGTCACCTTCGATTTATTGTCATTTTCATCTCCTTCACTATTTGTCAGCGTTAATGTTCACACTGTTGATGAACATATTAAGAAAGAACCTGCTGAGAATCATGTGGAACTGAGCGACTTAATGGAAGAAATAACAAATAGTGACCTATCATCTATAGATTTTGAGCCTTTATGGCAAGTTTTACAGACAGGAGAGAAAACAATTTTACTCTGTATACAAGAATTTTTTGGACTGATTGGTGATGAAGACTTGTTGAACAAGGGCGTAAAAGAATATAAGAAAATGCTCATTGACCAAATCAAAAACATGTCTGACGTGGATAAGTGTTCATTTATTATTAACAAAATGACTTCTTCTTATGTTCAAAAAAAAACATTTTTGTCTATGAGACGATTATTAAATCGTTATATGAACAACATCGATTTTCGAATTGTTCTCCTGATGATCTTGCAAAAATTTTCAAGTATGTCGTTTCAGAATATGCATTTGTAGGTCATTCTGATTCTCTTTAGAATTTTCTGCCAGACATAAATACTTTACAATGTTATGATAAAGTTTATGAATACGAAAGAAAAACTATCAAATATTTAGATAAAAATATAGCAGACATACAGAAATTTATGTTTCCTAAACTTGCATCTGCTGCATCAAGCAATACATTTGAATCTGAATTGAAGCATATTATAATAGAGAAGACTGATTTTTATTATTAAAAAAAATAATGCTTTCATGGATGTGTGGAGATTGTTCCGTTTCCACTTGTTTAATGAGAACCTTGAACAACTTGCTCGACTTAAACTTCTGTGCAGTTATTTAACTGAAAGAACTCAGACGTTACCTATTTTTACATCTTGTATTCTAATTCCACTATTAGTACAGCAACTATCCTCAACGTTGCATGACAATCAATCTCAAGAGCTGAACGAAAACGAGCAAGATCCAAATATTTTCCAATCAAGCCTTTTATCTCAATATAAACAATATGTTTTTGAATGGTGTATGCTAAATAAACTCAAAACCTTGATAAAAACTACAAAAGAAATTTTCAAGTCGAGGCAAACGCGTTTCATACCTATGATTCATTTTGAACATATGATTTAAATGGTCATCTTTGCAGAACGCGTTCTCTGACTGATTGCTTCAACTTGGAAATCTCTATTAGAAATATATCCTTGCTTTCCGATAAACTTAAACAACAATTGAACATAGCTATCACTTCATGTATGCTATTATTGCCTAAAACAACAATGAAGAACATTATATGTAAAACAGAAGCAAATGAAAAGTTTATTTTCTTTAATGATTATAAGTTCAAAATTGACGGCCACTTTATCTTTGATGCTATAGAACATTGCGTTGAAAGGCTTTTATTAATATTAAGAGATTGCGAGTGATTTTCGAAAACTAATAAAAAGTTAAAAGGGTTATATCATTAATTATAACTTTTAACCATAATTATAACTAACTGCAGTAATTATCAAGAGATAATTTTGTGTAAGTGTGTGGGCTTCGGAATTAAAGTGCATCAAGACGAATAAATATTCACTTCACTTGTAAACATTTTTGGAAAAACAAAATGTTAGTTCACTAATCTTCTCTTCTTGAATACACGAAAGATTGTTCATCACGGCCTTCTGTCTTTTTTCCCATTTGTATAATGAAAAAATAAAACTGAAACTAGTGAGCACTTCAAATTGAATTTTTCTTCTCATTATTATTTTTTATGCTTATACCTCTTTTATCCATTAACCCTTTCAGTCCCATATATCATCTTGTAGATAACCTTTGCCGAGCATGTCATTGATCTAGATCAGAAACAATAGAGATGTTTCAGTAATATTTCAATACTATTCATTAAAATTTACTAAAATCCAGTAAAAACTACCGAGTTTCTTGATAATCTAAAACCAATGTACCGAATGGGTCATAGACAAAAATTATCTGCCTACACTATCTGCAAAATCCGTCAAAACATCTCAAATATTAACTACATTTTTTTAAAATACTAACTGATTCTGAACGATTCTAGTGGCTTTCAAACTATATTTCTTTTTCTTTTAGAAAATAGACTAGTCGAAACTGAAAAAATATAGTATGACGAACACATTTGATCGGGTAGAATATGTTCTGATTTATAAAAATCCAAGTTTGTAAGTCGGCTTAATCTTTTGTCGATCGTTGTTCAAGGCTTTGAAACATCAATTTGTGCTGATGTGTCGTAACAAATCCTCACGGATCGTGGTAAATATTTAGAGTTTCTGATAAATTTGAATGAATTCTAAAAGATCAAGTGAATCTTTAACTTCATTAAGATCAATTTATGTTTTTTTTTCTAACACTATTCTAATTTAAACACAGATTAATATTCAAAATCAACTGCACGGTTGAACACTTTCCACTTTTACTTAAATCTCTGTTGAATACTACGATCAATATACTTTTGAAAAGGATTAAATATAATTGTACTTCAATCTAAAGAAAGTTTCATTTGCAAATCAGACTAGTTATTCATACTTTTGTATGTTAGCTTCACTTTATAGTGTTAGGAAATGAAGAAAGAGTGGCTGTGGGGTGTGGTTGTGGGTGTGAATGAAAAGAAGAACTACTTGCAAATCGTATAGGAGACACTGGAGCAGAATGTTTTGCAAAAATTTTCACTCAGACACTTAAAAGACTCAGCATTTCTTGCGATGGAATCGGAAACCAAGGTACACAATATGTCACTTATTGACGAATGAATAACACGGTAAATGACATTGACGACTCATGACACTTGTGATCATTTGTATATTTTACATAGACACTCACTGATCGCTCTCTCGAAACAAATCAAATCGAAGAGTTAGAAGCAGAATATTTGGTCAACATTTTATGACAGAACAAAATATCAAGTCCTCTTTATAGTATCCTGTACTAAGATGTTCTTTTTTACTCGCTTAGAAATTGTGTAAGTTGAAAATGCAGGAAAATCGAGTTACTTTAATCCTGAGCATGCAAACACTATTAGCGACATTTTCTGACAGCAATAGTTTTACATTTGCCTATATGGAATTCATTAGAGACTGTTCTTGAAAAGAGTACGGGTGCGTTCTGTATGCAATAAGAAGTGACACACATCCATAGACACACCATGGCAGATCGTATTTCATAATATCAAGTTTTAATTTGTTTAAATGATTCTGAATATGATCGAAGTATGCTTGAATTTTTCTCCAGTTTTTTGTTCATTGTTGAATACATTATTTAACATTAGAGTAAGGAGTGGATGTGGATAGAACATCAGAGCAAAAGCTACGAATTCACGTCCACATATTCATCCCACACTCACACTCTAACTGTTCGAAAAATATTTTGAGCAAAAAAATGCTCTTATCGATATTTATCCTCTATGAAGTGGAATACTTTAGTTTATCGTGCCTGATTTCATATGTAAAGTGAAACTAAATATGGAATTTTTAAATTCCAATAATATAACTTGACACGATCAAGTCTGAGTTTAGTGGTATCTGATTAATTTTATTAAATACAAAAAAAAAGACAGTGAGTAAATATTTACACGCACAAAATTCATTTATCAGTCCCTTTCATTTATAGTAATATTTCTAAATTTGTTCGAAAATAAAGAGTCACGCATAGTTCAATTGATTTTTTCGCATACCAAGAGATATTACACTCTTCCAGATTGAGTTTTTGTAATGACTGATTACTTCGAATTATATAGAAAACTGAGTAAATGCAAGAACTGTCTATAAGTTTATTACCAAAAAAGCTCAAATGTTTCAGAGTTTGATTATGATTTACTACTGTATTAGCTAACATTGCCAATCCTTCGTTAGTTATGTGATTCATTCCTAATTTCAATACAGATAAAGATCGATTCAATTGAAGCATGTTGGATAAATATTTAACACCTTCATCGTTAATCAAATTTCCATAAAGGTCTAAATATTGAAGATGAGTATGCATAGCAAGAGACGTAGCGAGAAACATAACACTAATATCATTTATAGAACATTGTACAAGTTCTAGAGTTTTCAATGATGTATTGTTAGGAAATGCTGAGACCATACGTAGCATATCATGTGGAGCAATGTGCTCATCGAATAAATGGAGATTAATACATCCTTCATTGATAATTCGATTTCGAATTCTATCTCCAATAGTGTGCCTTTGAATAATTTGTGATGGCGGGTTTCTCTGTGAAAGAGTTATATTACCGTTAATATTTTCATGCTGAAATATATTTTGTTGATTATGAGTAATTTTTGACTTGTTCTCTTGCTGACTTTTAGTTTGAAGATATAAACATGTATCAAAATGGTTTTGCAACTGCTCACGTGGTCCAGCCCATGAACAACCATTAACATTGGCTTTGCAAATGACAATTCTTTTTGTACATACCTTATCAATGTGATCTTGAAAATTACCTCGTTGTATGTTTGATTGTTGACATAATTTACATTTAACAAGAATTTGATCTAGCATTGAAATAAAATTCAACAGAGTAACTGGGGTTAAATCTTTCGTTGCTACCATTTTACGACAAGTAGGACAAGTTGATTTACCAGTTTGTACCCATTTTTGCAAGCATAAATGACAAAATGAATGATGACAGCCAGTTACTACAGGATCCATCAGTGCTCCATTACATATTGAGCATTTCAAATTAATATCAATCAACTCTTCATTTTCATAATCGTAATCAATACTTTCAGACATCTTATGTAATTGAAAATATTAAATTTAGTTTACTTTAAAAATCTATTTATTCGTTAAATAATGTTCAAGTCAGAATTGTTGAAAGAACTTCAGTTATTTTATATAACAAGATTGACGGCACATATTCCCTCTATGACACACAACAGTCAACTTAATAATGAATCACAGATGGGAAGAAGAGAACAAAAAGTCGTGAAACGTATCCGTTATTCCCTCGATAGTTGTCGCATGTTTGAGCTGCATTAACACATTTCTTTTTTCTGGACGTTTGATCAAATATCACAACGAAAAAAATAACTTTTATATAGTAAGGGTATGGGTGTGGGATGTAGTTGTGAACGTTATCCGAATGAAGACATACGGCCAAACCTGCATCAACACTCACACTCAAAATGCGACATCACAGCGCCTTTAACAAGATTGGCTACTGTGCTTGAATGAAACCTTTAATTCGTGTTTAATGTAGCAAAATAATGTATTCGTTGATGATGAGAAGGAATAAATTGTCGTTGAGAGATAAGACATAGCTAAGAAGGCTTGGGTAGAAACGAAGAGTTATAATTTATATCGTATTATAAAGGTATAACAAACTAGTCTGTGAGCACTCTATGTTTGTTCGTACACACACCAGTCAATCGTGGCTATCTCTAGTTCGGCTCAATCAGGTCCCAGCTCGTAATTGCGCTACTTGATGATCAATTTCTCTCTACCAAGACTAACATAAAAATCATAATGTGACAGAAAGAGAGAAAACGATACAGAGAAAACCAAAGAAAGGGAGAGAACTGTACAGAGAGTGGCTGACTATGAGTATCATTGTGCGATTTTATGGTTACGGGTGTAATTCATTGCTTCGTCCACATCCAAACACGTAGAGTCTTTGTTATATGATAGAGAAATACGTTATCGACAAGGTTTTGTCATAAAGTATTTCTTTTCTAAATGGTTTGATGATGATCTTGTCCTGATTATTTAGTTATTTTCATTAATATCAAAAACGTTTAGAATAAATAAAGGCTCGTATCTCTCGTTTAACATATGAAAGAAATTCTGTTTTTTTTTAAAGTGAATACCCATGAGAGTAAGACATCAAAAGAGAATATAGCACGAAATCTGGTGTGTACGTTTAGTATAGGATGGATTTACGTCTCCCATAACATGATCTGTAATCCTGTTGATCAAGAATTTTATGCTGTGGATTCGCTTTGGATTGCCGGGTGCAAATTGGATTGAGAACTTCACTCCTTTTTCGTCATATATCAACGCCTTATCAAATTGTTTTCGGTTGTAGTATGTTGGTCCTCTTCAAAAAGCATATCAAAATCGTTAAATATATATTGAATAATACCAAAAATTGCCAGTGATATAGCAATAGTCATCGGTTCTGTTGATCATGGAAGCAAACCTGTTTAGGAAAGCAGCTTGGCTCCTTCAATTTTGCCTTGCTTACCTTTCACTCGTGTTAAACAGCCAATGAATGATGTATAATCTAACATTTCTTTTGATGCGGCCTTTCTAAACATAAGTATTGTTCGTCTAAGATAGACCTCAGCATGGTCATAATGTTGCAAAATTGTATACTGAACTCCAATGTTTCCTAGCAAGTGTCTTGTTATAGGTTGAGATATATTACAAACTGCAAGTGTTTTATGGTAATATTTCAGAGCTCGCTTATGCTCGTATAGTTCCGCAGAAATATGTGCCAGATTATTGTAGTCATTGGACACAGCGATGTGATATTCACCAAAGTATTTGCTATTTGATTTCAACGCTAACTTGTAAGAATTGAGAGCGCGAATATATTCAGCTTTGCCTTCCAAAAAACGAGCTATATCGTGACAGATCTCACATACTTAAGGCACTTCTTCTTCTGGATGAGCACTTGCAGCAATATTCAGGGCTCGTTTACTGTATTCGAAAAATTCAGAATCTCACTCCAAATATCTACAGACTCTCACAAGACCCCTATAGCTGGCAAACAGACCTAGAGATTGATCTGAAAAGTATTCACACAAGGCATACATACCTTTGAAGAAATACCTATGCACTTCATCGTATGCTTCTTGAACTTCAAGTACAAGAGCAATGTTAAGATAAGTAGCTGCTGGTTAAGATTTATTAATAAAGGCTTTTTTAAAGTCGATGTCTAGCGATTTTTTATAGTAATATAGTACACTCTCGAATTTTTCGTGACTACGATAAGCACAGCCGAGATGAAATAGATAATGCATATGAAGGCATTGTGTATTTCGATTGGAAGAACATTGCTTGACTATCCTAACTAACTTTTCAAAATCATTAATAGCAGTATCGTAGTCTTCTTCCTTTAAGTAACGCGTTCCAAAGGTTTTGTAAATCTCAGCTAAAACGGTATTTTGCTTCCATCTCTTCAATCTAATTTCAATTTTTAATGTTTCTTTCACATAATACCGTTCTCGTTCGATCTCTCTCATATATTCGTATTCGTTTGCTATACTAACGGAGAAATCAATGAATTGAGAGTGATTGAGTGACAGATTTTTTTTCAAGAGACAGAATGCTCTATTGTAGGGTGTTGGTGTGAGTATGAGTGTCGGTATCTGTGTTGGTGTGGTTGTCGAGTTGAATAACACTCACATTCACATCTACCACCCACACCCACTCAAAATTACATTCTTGAAAAATAATGAATATTCTAATTGTTGATATCATTTACGTAAAAAATTTTAATTTTTCTTCGGAATCACTTCAAATAAGACTTTTTTAAATGTACATTTTCATGATGAATTTTCTTTTCTTTGATAGATATCAAATATTATTTAGATATTTATTCATGAGTTGTATTTCTATCAATAGTATTCTCTATTGTTGCATAGAATGAATATATTGATACTTTCTATTCCTATGTAAAGGAGGGGGGGCGATTTCTACAGAAATCGGCCCAATTGAATTGTCTAATTTTGACTTCATAAAAGTATATAACTCGACAATAGAAACTATACCTAATGGTTAGTTTTGTTATAAAACTCGTTTGAAGGTGCGGACGATGATGAAAAATTCGATTTTTTAGGCTAAAAATGACATTCAATTTGATAACTTTTTTCTTTATTAACTTATATCTCAATGAAATGAATTATACACCAGTAAATATAGTAAACATAGTACGTTGATACTATTATAAAAGCACTTCATTATTATGCACAGAAGTATTCAATTAATGATAAAAATGCAAAAAATATTACCTAATTTTGCGATGATAAATCGCTTATCAATCAGAGTTTTATAGCTGATTCATGTTTCCCCACTCTGAATTTTATACCATTCGATAGAGCTTTTCACGAGCTACAAATTCGTGTATAATTTGTTTGAAAATAAAGCTGCGAACATGTCAGAAGTCAAGACCAACTGGTTTGCTATAGCTAAAAAATAGCATTTTTCGGCTTCTATTGAACGATTTCGTCCATAATAATTACATTTTGAATCAAAACAAATAGCATATTAGCAATGAGCATCACAAGTTGCATCGATCTATTTATGTTCGAAACGCTTTTGGCGATTTTTATTTTCAGTGAAAAGGAGGGGCGATTTCTAAAGAAATCGGTCCCATTGAATTGTTTCATTTTCACTTTATGAAAGTGTATAACTCGGCAATAGAAACTATACCTAATAGTTATTTTTGTTGTAAAGCCTTCTTGAAGGTTCAGGTGATGGTAAAAACTTCGATTTTGCAGGACTAAAAAATAGTCAAAAATTGATATTCAGAAGGTAGCCACAGCGATGGATTTTTTCTTTAGTTAATAAACGAAATGAAGTACAAGATATAATTATAGAAAAAAATTTATTATCCAAGAT